AACTGAATATCATCTGTATAAATGTGGTGTAAAATGTTGCAACAAATGCTTTTCATCAGTTACCATAAGTACAACTTGAATAGATGTGTCCCCAGAACAGAGCCCTGAGGAACCCCGTGTCAGATCAGTGTAAATAATAAGGCTGCAAAAATGGCCAGAAACAGAAGAACATCTTTTTTTTGTCTATATATATCTGTGGTTTTACCAGTAAGCTCTGGCTGCAAGAAATCACTTATCAGTACAGAGATAAAGAGACAAAACAGGAAGAAACAACCCAGAACTTAATGATCTACTAAGAGAGGACAACTCGAACAGGCAAAACGACAGAGACGGACATTTACCCGGACATGGATCACCGGCTGGTGGTTTTGCTCCTGCTGCTTCTCTGGTGCTCAGGTAGGACAGAACAATATTAATGTCAAAATGCAAAATAAAACAATCAATTCAATTAGGATTTGTTCATTTATAAAGAGAATCATGGTTTAAAACTTTTTCTTTCTTTATTTTTGAAGGATTTTTTTTTTTATTATTGTCTAAAATATTGTATATCTGCTTACTTGATTGAGGCTGTTTTGCTAAAAGATCAATTGATATTTTTTGCTCCTAGACAACAGAAATAAACTGATGACATCAAGGCACTGAGTTCTTGAAGTGTCTCAATTCTGATGAGTTAAAACTAATTCGGACAACATTACTAAGAAACAAAGCTTGAACTGAATAGTTATATGTAATTCAGCTCAGTTTAATAATAAAAAAATGTTTCAGATCTTCTCAGCAGAACACACAGAATGGGTGAAGATGCATAATTTTAATGTAGTTTTATTTTATTTATTTTGTGTTCTTTTACGTCCATAGAGCTGCAGGCTGAAGGAAACTACAGCCCAGCAGGTAATCAGATACTGTTCAATCAACTTGTCTGTTCATATTGCACCAAAAATACATCAATACATGTTTAGGTTTTGAAAAACACATTTATGTCCAACTAAAAGCAATCTGATTTACATTAATAATATTTGTAATTATGGTAAATTTTTATTGGAACAGTCTAATACAATGTGACCTCAATTATAACAGAGCAACATGCATAGAGATGGACCTGGATTTAAACTGTGTGAGGAAACCAGATGAACACATTAAATATTAATTTTGAAGCAATCCCCCATTACTATGAGGCAACACCGGAAGGCGAAAAAAGATAACTTCAATTTTTTCCATCACATCAACTTATCAGGTGCTACAATGGATTGAAAGAGTGATTTCTAAGTTTATCAGTGTTATTACCATAGCACTATAATCTCCCTTGAAAAAATTTGACAGCATCCCAGCATCCCTTGGTAATTAAACTTTAGGTTTAGAGATTGAAAAATTGAAATACAAACAGAAAACCTGTGATAGTTTTGTGACTGTGAATGCAAAAAAATACAAAAGTGTTGCTTTAAAAATAGACTGGAAATTCCAAAACACATCAATGGTTTATTTCTTTAGGAAATTATTAGAAAATGAATATAATCAAGATGCATTTTTTTTTTATTTCATTTGCCGTTATTGCTTAAATGTTAATGGCTCTTTCTTATTCCTGCACAACGTGGCGGGTGCAGCTTGGGAGGTTTCCGACTCGTCTGAGCTCAATATTTTGGGTGAAGTATGTTGTTGGCTTGACCAGATGTTGGGTAGGAAGCTTCATAGATGTTTCCATAGCAGTGGATTATTGCGCTGATTATTGTGTTCATAAGACTGATGCTCGTTTATGGCATTACATGTTAGCTCTCTCTTAGTGGATCACAGTTCTTGGACAATTCATCTAATTATGCTTCTCACTCTGATGACATAAAGAAGCATTAGAAAAATAAGCACATGAACATGTTCTTAAACTTGGTGGTGAATTGCACAACTTCTTACATAAATCTCATTATTTGTCTCTTCTTAACTTTTCAGGAGCTTCATGTGAAACGACGAAAGCTGACATTGTGATGTTAATCGACCAGTCTGGAAGTATTTACACTGAAGACTTTGAACATATGAGATTGTTTATATCTGAACTAGTTCAAAACGTCCACATTGGCCCCAACAGTTTCCAGATTGGTATTACTTTTATTTTCACTTGCAAGAGTCGTATATACAGTTGAAAATAGATATTTACATACGCTATATAAAGACACAAGCACATTTTTTTCTACCTAAATTTTCTTGTTTTAGCTTAGTTAGAACTACCTAAGTTAATTCTATTTTTACTAAATGCCAGAAAATTTGACTGGGACGTTTTTTAGAAATGTTTTTGCAACTTTCCTCGAATTCGAAAGTTTACATATGTTTGCTCAGTATCTGGGAGAACTGTCCTTTAAATTGTAAACGAGAAAAGCTCAGTCTGACTTAACTTCAGACTGTGAGACTGTTTTTATTTGGTAAATATCTGGTTTCAACTGCATCATAACGCTGTTATTTGTTAGAGATAGTAATAAAAAAAATTATATAAATTTAGAAAATATAGCAACATTGAAATAGACAGATTGTAATGTTTTATTCTACTTGCCCAACACATTAGAGGTAAATTTATGAAGAATAAAACAATAACCTATAATTTTCCATTTGAATCAATGACTGTGTGCTTTTTGTAGGTCTGACCAAGTTCAGTGACGAAGCAAAAACTGAGTGGAATTTGAACACACACAGAACCAAAGAGTCCCTGCTGACGGCTATTAAAAAAATACGACAGAATGGTGGAGAAACAAACACAGGTCAGCACCTTATTGTTATGAAAGCAGATTCTCACCATGAGGAGATGAGGCGTTTCAGGCTATTGTGTAAAAGATTTAACAGGCATGAAATCTTTTAAATTGTGGCTGAACAATAGAGCTCCAAGAAGGACAGTTTTTATTTAAGCCTCACTTTAATGGTAGCTTAGATGAATAAACTTCATTAAATCAAAAGTGTACACGAGGTTTTACTGCTGTGTCCGTTATGCTAACGAAAGACTATCTGTTGAATTGCGTGACGAGTATAACTTAAGTTTGAATTCACAATTTCTACAGTTTATTCTTAATGAGCTCCTAGCCTTAAAGGTGAATTTTATTCTTTAGATTTATTTTAATTTTAATTTTTTATTTTTTGCACCATGCAGGAAAAGCTCTGGATCACGTTCTTCGACACGACTTTAGTTTGGCTGTGGGGAGGCGTGCCGACTCTAAAAAAACTGTTATTCTGATCACTGATGGACAATCTGCGGACTATGTAGAAATCCCTGCAAAGAACCTGAAAGACTCAGGGATAGAGATATACGTCGTTGGTAACTGACTGCAAATTGATTCTTTTTTATTAGATTGAGAGCCATATGTCAGTATCAGAGTTGGCTGCAAGAATTAAAGTTCTCATCCACCAAGCTGTTTTCTTTGTTTATGGATCAGTACAGTAATAATATTTCTTTTCTTAGCTGTGGGCCAAGATGTTGATTACAATGAATTGAGGATCATTGCTTCTGGAGGTGATGGAACATATATGTACACCACTTCAGATTTTAAATCCCTCCACAACATTAGAAAGAAACTCATCCTCTCCCTGTGTCACAGTGCTCCCAGCACCAGCACACACTTACCAAAAGGTGAATATTTGAAGCATGGCGTGGTTGTTAAAGCTAATCAAACATTAGGTATAAATTTATCATGCCTTTGGTGTGTGACAAAAATTTTTTAACATCCTTCATCGCTAAACTCTGTGAGAAGTTGTCATTTAAATAATTCTAATTATCTTTCTCTGTGATGACTTTCTGATGAATTATCTTTTGCAGTATTGCTCCAGAGTTTCAGAGATTTTATTTAGATTTTGGGTGATTTTTACTTAGTTTTGGTTTAGGAAAAGACCATTTGTTGTTAAGTCTTTAAACTCTGTCACATCAAATATATATTTATAAACAGACACATATATATGTGTGTGTGTGTGAGACATGTCCCTCTGCTTTACTTTTTCAGGAGCTCCATGTGAAACAGCTAAAGCTGACATTGTGATGTTAGTAGACGGGTCTTCTAGTGTAAGCCCTGGAGGCTTTCAACATATGAAATCATTTATATCTGAACTACTTCAAACCATGCATATTGGTCCCAACAGTTTTCAGATTGGTATTACTTTTATTTTCATCTACAAGCGTTGTGTCATGATGCTGTTCTAAGGAATAATAATAAAAAAAACTCATGAATTCAGAAAGCATAGAAACATTTTGATACATTAGTATCTGTTCAAAAAGACAGATACTAATGTTTTATTCCAATTGACCCAACACATAAGTGGCAAGTTTATGAGGAATAAAAATAGCAACGTTTCATTTTCTATTTTGACTGATTATGTGCTTTTTTAGGTCTGACTCAGTTCAGTACCGAACCAAAGACTGAGTGGAATTTGAACACATACAGAACCAAAGAGTCCCTGCTGAAGGATATTAACAATATAAAACAGTTGCATGGAGGCACAATGACAGGTAAGTGTATTATTGTTATCAAAGCAGACCATGAAGTGCTGAGGCTTTCAGGTTCTGTTCAGCGACAAATCTGAACATTTAAGAAAAAAAAAGTTAAACTATGCCATTTCAGCCACTGTATGAAATCTAACCGTTTCCTCCCATAGATAATGGATTACTAGGAGAAACAAAGTGTTCAGTGACGTAATAAGCATAGACAACAGAAATTCTCTGTTTGCTATAGTGATTTTCCTATAGTAAACAGGGGGAAGTGTTCTCAGGAATACCTGTTTTCATGAGACAGACAGACAATAATCCGAGGAGTCTGTAGCTCTGAGTCTTTAAAAGGACTTTTAATATTTTTTTTTTTTTGTTGTAACTTACAGGAAAAGCTCTGGAACACATTCTGAATCACAGCTTTAAACCCACGGCGGGGATGCGTCCTGACTCTAAGAAAGTGGCAATTCTGATCACTGATGGAGAATCTCAGGATGATGTTCAACTTCCTGCCAAAAACCTGAAGGACACTGGGATAGAGATATACATTATTGGTGACTGGCTTTTTCTGGATTGATTGAGTTCAAATCAGCAGAGTACAACATGAGCATCAAAAGTTGCTTCGATAAGTTGGATAAGTAAAGTTGCTAAGATGGATCGCAATGTGATTGGTGACTTTTTGTTTTCAGACTAAGAGACACATCAGTATCAGAGTTGTCTACAGAAATTAAAGTTTAGTCCTCTTGTCCACCAAGCTGTTTTGTGGCTAATGTATCAGTAAAGTGATGACATTGTTTTTTAGGTGTGGGCCAAGCTGTTGATTACACTGAAATGGGGATCATTGCTTCTGGAGGTGCTGGAACATATGTGTACACCACTTCAGATTTTGGATCTCTCCACAGCATAAGAAACAACCTGAGCCACAGCCTGTGTCACAGAGCTTCCAGCACAGGTAGGCATCATCTGCATACACTTAGCAACAGGTGGATATTTGAAGCTCGACATGGACTTTGAGTCTGACTCATTTTAGGATTGATAACTCTCTAAAGCAGTGGACTTAAACTCCAGTCCTCAAAGGTTGGCATCCTTCAGATTCTAGAAGTATCTCTGCTTCAGCAAACCGGGTTTCAATATTAGCTCGTTAGCAGAGCTCTGTAGAGCTTGACTGCATGTTAAGCTCTACAGATGGCAGTTTTGCCATTTAATTCAAGCATGTTAGACAAAGGACACATGAAAAGGCTCCAGGACTCTGACCCTCAAGCTGCTCTAGACCCTGACCTATAAAACATTCAGGAAGAAATAAAGCTTCTGAAATCAACTCCACTTCCAGTATCCTAAGATGACCATCATGTCATCTTAGCATATTTCAGAGTCAAATTTCTCCTGAAATATTGATTCTGTTTTCATAAGAACATGGAGCAAAATCCAACAGACTAGCACAGCCAGCAAACTAGCACAGTCTATCATATTTTTAAAAAAATATTATAAAGTGAAGGACTCAATGAATGTCTGACTTCAGCATGGCAGGTAATGGAACAATAAAAAACAATAGGATAACATTCAACAAAGTTTTGAAACAAAAAATAGGAAATGTGTTTTTTTTTCTCCAATACATGCATTCACTGGATGTCGTACTGAAGATTTATTTCTATGTGCGTGTTCAGACTCTGTCAGGTTGGTGAATGGTACCAGTCTGTGTTCAGGTGGACTGGAGGTGAAAACCTCCC